TTTCCAACCCAACCTATTCTATGATTCTATGATTCTACTTCTTTTATTTTTGTTTTTTTTCAGTGATGTGACTATGTTCATAATTGCAAATAATTGTGCATTTTGGACTAATGAGATTAGGTGCAACAAAATTAAAATCACATTATGCATGTGGTTATTGTGCTGAGAAGTGTCGTGTTATAGATCTCCATGACAGAACTTTGTCCTGTGGTATATAAACTACAAATGGCACAAGAAAAGGTTTCTGAATCCATAATAAAAACCTTTGTAATATTAATTTTGATTGTGGAGACATTCTGTCTTTTGCTACACTCCCAATGAGAGCTAGCAGAAGGTTCTGTGCTTAAGGTAGGAAGGCAAAGGTTGGGGTATAAATGCATTTGCTGAACTTGGAGGATGGCGTTAGAGAGAAACAGGTATTGGTAGAAATGAAAAGGTGATGTGTAGGTTTAAAGAGGTCTGGAATATGTAGATATTTGTTTCAGTTGTGCTAGAAGGAATTATGAATCTTTGAAGAGCTGAGTGAGTGGAGAAGGATTCAACCGATAGTTTAGATTTAAATAAAATGGAGGAGTGAGTTACAACAAGAGCTGTCTGGTAAAAGCAGATTTAATGTGTGGAAAAAACCAAGGGTTTAAACAAAATAATACGAAAGAGTAAGAGGGGTTTAAGTAAAGGAAAAGCTAATGTTTCTACTTGCCTAAACCACACTTTGCTTCTTCCTGTCACAAACTGATGAATTGGTAAGCGTAAGGAATGTAACTAATGACTCATGGTGCTCTCACTCATTTTGGAAGGTGTTTTCCAAGAGCAGGAATAATCACTGTGAATGCTTTGATTAAACGTGACGCTTTTATATCTATGTTGATGTCTCTGATATTGAGGCTTTTATATCTTTACACATTCATTTATCTTTAAATCACTGCTAAGACCATTTAAAGCTACAGATCTGTATTTGCATGCACATACGCCTGAGTCTTAATCCTGCTGAGATTTCTTAAATGTCAGTTGAGTAGTAATAATTTTATTCTGTAGGTGGGCAGATATTGTCACTGACTTAAACACTCAAAATCCAGAATATCTAGATATTCGACACCTAGAGAGAGGATTGCAGCATCGAAAAACAAAGAAGGTAAGGTAAACTTACTAAGATGGGAGGAAATTCGTGGTAGATTTTTGCAAACTTACTGCTACTTCAGCAGTGTAAGATGACTTCACTAAAGAAGTTTGTTGTGAAGTGTTGCTGAAGAAAAAAAGTAAAACGTGGGTACTTGCATACCAGCATCTTTTATATTTATTTGTAGGACAAGAACAGCAGTAGTTTGGCATATGCCAGGATGAACCAGGATATGTGTGTATACAATGTATTTGGTCACAATATTTACTTGTGCTGGTTTAAAATGTAGCTGCAGCAAGTATAGTAATACTCTGCAGCCAAATTACAAACCCTTTGGGGGATGACCCTTCTAGCTTCCTCTAAGTAGGAAACAAGGCAAAATCGAGTAGGATCAGGCATAAAAGAATGCATGTCTATCCCTTGTGCAGACTTAGTGTCAATGCATGTGGCTTTCTTTCCTATAGATAGGGCTGTATCTCATGGGTGGAAGATGTATTTGTGATTTGCCAATTGCAAGTCTATGAGAAATAATAGACTGAAGAGATAATTTCAAACGTGAAGATCCTATGGAAGACTGTGTCAGCAAGATCAGAATGGACCAGAACACATAATTTCTGAGAAGGTAGCTAGAAAGTAAAAAAGACTAGCAGAAGATAAGCAACACTGGCCCATGAAAGATAAAATGGATAACTTAAAAAGATGAGAAAGAAGGCAGTAATTGAATCTGGGATACAATTAAAAACTGATTGATGCGAGTTGTTTGTTTGTGTATATAGTTTTGTGTTGGGGGTTTTTTTGTTGGTTTTTGGTTTTGTTTGTTTGTTGTTGGTTTTTTTTCTGGTTTGTACTTGTTGCCTTTTTTTGTGTATTTTTTTTTTTTGAAATGATTGTGTTACTTGCCAAGATGTTGATGTCAAATATCAATGTGTTTTAGAAAAGCACCCATGTGCATTTAACAAAGAGCCTTTTTACTTTGATTAGGTTGGAGGAAATCTTCATTGCATCATTGCCTTTCAGAGACTTAACTGGCAACGGTTTGGTCCTTGGAATTTTCCATTTGGAAATGTTAGACAGAATAAACAATCCCAAACACAAGGACAAGGAATTTCCAAATCTGAGAGTGAAGACAATATCTCTAAGAAACAACATGGACGACTGGGTCGATCTTTCAGTGCTAGTTTTCATCAAGAACCTACATGGAAGAAATCTAATCTTCGAGAGAGGAGGAACAGTGGGTATCAGAGTTATAATGATTATGATGAAAATGATTAAAATTAACTTTAGATGATAGAGTTGATATATCAAAGTTAGTTTTAATCAAAACATATTAGGGATCTATTAGTCCTAGAATACATATGAATAGAAATTATGGTATAAGATACAGCCTCATAATTATTAAATAAATCTGATGATATGGTTGCAGTGGACAAGATCTGATGTGTAAAGCGATAGATAAGCACAGATTATTGTACTTTTGCAATCAAAGGTAAATGTGACAGCAAAATCAATAATTTCTTTTGAAGTAATTGTATTATGTCCTGATTTGTGAAAACAAAAGAACAGATTGAAATTAGCCAATGTAATAAACAGACTTCATTGAAAATACTTAGTGTTCAAAAGCATGAAAAACTGTGGTATGACTTTATAAAAAAGGGTTATTCTGCAAATGGTGTAAGGATAAAAGTAATCATTGCCTTCCTTTTAAACACTTAATTTTATTAAGGCTGCCCATATCCAGTGCAAAGGAAAAAAAAAATCACATGGGTTAGAAAACCTTTTGGATTTACAAAGGGAATGTACATTCTCCATTTAGTTCTCATTAGACTTCTGTCGGTCAGATAATCATATCTTGAGAAGCAGCTCTCACTTTCTTTTCCCTTATCTAGTTGCCTGTTTTAGACTGTGGGGAATTGCCTTTTTGAGGATGGAACTTCTCTGTTGCTTTTGCTCTGTGGGTATAGTGGCTGAATTCTTATCCTGGAGCCTCTTCAGAACACGGACTCACTTAACACGAGCTTGTGAAATTCAGTATTAAAAAGCTGCATTTACCATTAGCCAAATGAGCTAGCTGAACACTATGTTCTGTTGGCAGTTCTTTTTCTTGTTCAGTCTTAAAATCTCTGTTCTTTTTCTGCTGCTCTTTTTATTTTGTATGAAGGGGGTGCAAGTGCTGACAGCCCCGATGATATACCTCTCAGCCAGCAAACAATTCAAGCTTTTTCAGGTGTCCACGTGCAGTCTATTTTTTTCTTTTCTTGTTTTCCCTGATTTGAAATTTATCTAGTTGTTTGCCCAAACACATCTCAACAGTTGCAATGTTCTGTGTACAAATGTTCATACCTGCTCAAGGATTAATTTTTTGACATAAAAAGATTTGTCATGGAATGCAGGGGTTTTGTAGGTTGCTGCTTTTGTTAACCAAAAATGGGAGACTTTTAGACTTTTGTTCACTCAATAAAATTTGTTTTCTATCTTGTTTGCTTTTCATTTGTCATGGGAACGGTGACCGTACATTTAGAAAAGGTCTTCGGCAGAGTAGGTAAGCAATGGATCAGTTGCAAATACTGCTTTAGCAAAGTTATCCTGGAGGTAGGATCTCTTTGCTCATAAAAAGTAGTTGCTCTGTGCAGCCAATGTGACTTAACTTCTGATATTTAATTTCCCAAAGCCTGCAGCCTCACGACTGAACAGAACCCATAGGTTTTGAAAATTTATTTTCCAGATGAGCTGTTTTTGCAAGCTCAGTTTGAGCTGAGGGCTCAGGTTTCTCTGGAATACTTGCACTGTGTTCTTTCAGGGATTTAAGACATATATGCGGTGTTATATGTATGTCTCCTAAGTTTTGCTTAATAATAGTTACACTGAGGAACAGGGACTCTCCTCTGATGGTAGCCGGCTGCTATGCTTAACTGGTTTTAGAGTTATTTTGCTCTGGACATGGAGACTGTCACATTTCATCCGGAGTACTCCGTATATGGGATTCGTCCAGCATTGGCAGGAGGAAAGTCCACGTCCTCGGGGTTATGCTTCAGGAAGCTTTCCCTAGGGATTCACCGAGGGGTGGGTGTGTCCAGTGAGGGGCACTGTGGCTGCAGTGGGAGCGGAGTGGGGAGGAGCACATGCTGCAAGGAAAATCTCATTCGGGAAGAAAAAAAATAGAGGACTTTTTTTCATTCTGCGATGTGAGACTTTGTTCTGTGGCATGAGACTTTTCCCGTTCTGCATCCAGAGAAGGGCAATGGAGCTGGTGAAGAGTCTGAAGCACAAGCCGTATAAGGAGCGGCTGAAGAAGCTGGTACTGTTTAACCTGGAGAAAAGGAGGCTCAGGGATGACCTTATCACTCTACAACTGTGTGAAAGGAGGTTGTAGCCGGGTGGGCGTTGGTCTCTTTTCACAGGCAACCAGGGACAGGACAAGAGGACATAGTCTCGAGCTGCAACAGGGAAGGTTTAAGCTGGACATAAGGAGGAATTTCTTCACAGGGTGATTAGATATTAGAATAGATTTCCCAGGGAGGCGGTGGAGTCACCGTCCCTGGCGCTGTTTAAGGGAAGACGGGACGTAGTGCCATGGTCTAGTTGACACGGTGGTGTTCGCTCATAGGTTAGACTAGATCATCTCAGAGGTCTTTTCCAACCTAATCGATTCTGTGAGTCTCTGGTGTTCGGTACTCGGCTCTCCTCCGGGCAGGCAGAGAGTCCCCCTTCTCAGGAACGCTGGCGCTCCCGGCGGGCGGAGAAAGGCCGGTGGGAGCCGCCCGGCCCCGCTGTGAGGGGCGGGAATGAGCGGCTCCTCGCGGGCCGGGAAGGGGGGCCGGCTCCGCCCCGCGCACGGCGCTTCCCGGCGGGCCACGGGGCAGCGCCGGGGCGGTACCGGGGCGGTGTCTGCGCTCGCTGGCTGGAGGGGTCGCTGGGCCTGTCCGGCCTTTCCGGGTCCCCCGCCAGGCTCCGCTCCCTGCCCCCCCCCCGCAGGTAAGCTCCCGCCGCAGGTCCAACACCACGACCCCCGCCTGCCCCAGCTGGTCCCGGGCCGAACGGCTGCCTCGTTATTTCTGTTCGCATTAATGAAGCAGACGTGGGCCGTGTCGTCTTTGGGTCATCCCTTCTTTTTGCCTCATAGATTTTCTCTCAAAGCAGGTAAGAAGGGACCATGGGAGTTCAAGGACTTTGGAAGCTGCTCGAATGCACCGGGAGAACCATAAGCCCAGAAACGCTAGAAGGGAAAATTCTTGCTGTGGGTATCCTTTAAAAGTAAAGCTGGGGAGCCAAAACTGTGAGGGAAATTATCTTAACTATTTCCCTTACTTATAAGTGATCATCTTTTCTTGTTGTGATTATGATGATTATTGTTGTTATTAATTTTAAATTAACACATTTTGGTAGGTGAATTTTATGCTTTATAATATGTGGAATAGTAAGCTCTTTCTGTTTTTATTGTTTGAAGAATAGGCTTTTCTGAATAGGTTCCTTACAAAAGTGTTGGACTCTAGGATTTTGTGCTTTATAAATAAACGTGCTGCTCTCTGTAGGACTGTAAGATGAAAAAAATTAAATGCTTAAGAATTAGCTTTCCTATCCTGTATGCTTGGTTAAATGCTGGAAAGATGTGGAGGGAAATTAGCCTTCATTTATGTGTAAAAATAATTGGGGAGGTACTTGCTCCACAGTTCCTTCCACTCTACTTTTTATGCAGGGCAATAAGGGCAAGAATTTATTCTTCTCCAAAGTTCACAGCTATTTGGATAATTTTGGTTTCCATAAGCCAAGCCTGAAGCAGTGGGCAAAAGCCACTCAGTCAAATATGTGCACTTTATAGAAACTTAATGTAGTATATGTGTAAGAGAGCACAGTTTTTCCTCTCAGCGGTTCTTTAAGATATCAGTATTTGGTTGAACCAAGCAATAAAGGGAGCCAGAGATCGTGGTGGTGTTTCCGTACGGAATGCTCACCTCCTCACTCTGTTCCATCGACTCTGCAAGTTACTGTTTTTCCGAATTCGACCTGTCTTTGTTTTTGACGGAGAGGCGCCTCTTCTGAAGAGACAAACCTTGGTAAGTGCCTTTGCTGAGTCATTGCAATGCAAAATAGGGTGTGCGTCCGCTGAAACTGAGTAGCCATGTTCAATTTTCTTCCTACTGTTCTGCCTATGCTTCTGATCTGTGAGGATGGAGGGCTTGAAGCCACTGCTGTGCAGTGTCCTCTGCAGTCCCAACCTGGGTTAGCTCTTGGAGCATGCGGCAGCTCTCTTTTGATAGAGGCGGGTTTGATTTCCATAGAAACCAGGTTGTGGAGAAGTAGAGGATGGCATAAGCCTGGATCATGCTCCAGAATGGACCTGAATGAACTCTTGTGGCATTTGTACCCAGAAGCTGAAAGCTGTTCCCAAGTCCCACAGAGGAAACAGATGTAGATTTAGAGGATTTGAAGGCTGTGACCCCAGTAGTGTAGGATGATTTAGGAGTAGCTCGTAGGCTCAGCACACTGAATTTTAACAGTGATTCGTTGGATGTGCATCTTCAGCATCTAGCAAAATCTTGTTGGTGTTAATCTTATTTTCACAGGCTAAGCGAAGACAAAGAAAGGAAGTTGCCATCAGTGATTCCAGGGAAACTACAGAGAAACTCTTGAAAACGCTTTTGAAGAGACATGTTATCAAAACTGCTCTTGCGGGAAAAAGGCAAGAATAAAAATTATTTTTCCCTCATTTATAAATGTCAGATAATTCCTTATATAGCTGTTAATCACTGTGGGTTTTTTTTTTCCTTTTCCCTAAGCAATGAAGTTTTGCCCAGTATTACACAAGTTCGAAGAGGAGAAATTGATGATATGTACGTATTGCCTGCTTTAGAAGATGAAGAGAAGAATAGGTAGGTAAAATTAAAAAAAATAGCTTAAACTAGGATAAAAGCATTAAACACATTTTTTGATGCTGCTGAAAGGCCTTTGATCTATGAGATTCCATAATATATGAAGTATATTTTTAATTTATATTTCATTTCAGTTTCTTTTTGGAGGGTTTGTTTATAACTGTACACAGAACCCTTGTAGTTACTTATGAGAAAGTAACAGAAGAAGCTTTCAGCCCACAGATTAAATTTCTACACTGGATTCATGTTTAAGGATGAAAGGTCTACCTCAGTCTCTGTGACCGTATCTATACAACTAAATGGGACTGATTGCTCAAACTTGGGTGACTGCTGCCTGTATGATTCTGTTTTGTGTCCCCTTGTTCAGAGCACTGACGTGTTCAGCAGAAGCAGGCTTTGTTTGTGCTGTCAAATATGACAAATAACAAAACTGAGAACATGAAACTATGCGTTAGATTGCTCTATGTATATCTGTCCTTTCATGTAATTTAAACACTGACCATCAGATAAGGATTTAAGCAGCATCAGTTGTCTCAATCTAGTTTTAGCTGACATAAGTCTGCCTTCTTGCTTTCTGCTCAGATCTTTTTGACCTGTGTATGTATTTATAATGTGTGTTTATATGTATATATATATATGTGTGTGTGTGTATTTTTGTACTTACTACCAAAGCGATGACTAATGTCCTTTTGCTTTAAATAGGAACTTTATTTTCCTGGGTAAATATCTACACCTTTTGTTTTCTCTTTGTGATTTTTAGCTCGGAGGAGGAGGAAGAAAAAGAATGGCAAATGAGAGTGAGCCAAAAAAAGATGTTGCAAGTAAGTGCAACCTAATTGCCCTGTTACTGTGAACAGTCTTCTCATTCATGTGCTATGCTTAAAAGATAAACAAAAAGCTTAAAAAAGCCCAAATGTTTGGAGATATAAGTCTTACTATAGCATTGCTTCTCAAGCAAACAAGTTAATTTTTGGTACTATTAGACTTCCTGATAATGAGGAAATATAAATGTAATTTCTCCACTAGGATACAATGGAAGAGAAATTTTTTATGGTATCCTTTTTTTCTTTTTACTACTTTCTCTGAACATATTGAGAAAAAATTGGTTTTTCTGATGATGTACGTGACATGTATGCATTTATGCACATGTGTATGCATATAAAAAACAGCATTTAACAAAATTCCTGTGCTTCTCCACATATGAACTGATGCTGAAGCATTTCATTCCTTGAGTTTTCACAGATAAATTCTGTATTTGCTTCTGTTGTGCTCACAGGAAGAGGATAAGAGAAATATATAACTTAAGGAGAAGACATAATGAGTAATAAAATTATCTCTGCTTTCATCAATAGGAAAAAAAAAAAGAAAAAACTCTTGAAAATACTGTTTATCTTTGAAGTCGTTCTTATTCAGGAGAACCTCTTTAGAAAGATAAAATCAGACTAACTGAGGCTATAGAACCTACTTCTGTGATTTATACAAATATCTTTTTGTAAAAAGAATAAAACCAAGTTTCTCTGTATAATGTACATCAATAATTATGTACTTTACATTGTTTTATTATGTAGCAGTTACCTTTTTTTTTCCTTGTTTTCTTTACCATATAGAAAGTAGCACAAAATTCTTAAGGTTTTTTTTTTTGGTCTTGTTGTTTGGAATGATGCTCTAAATATTTTACTATTTTTGCTGTGCTGTAATATAAAATATATATTTTATGTTATTTTCCATTTTTATAGGAACAGTTATGTGAAAATCCTTATGCTGTAGATATTGAATCAGAAGATTTCAACAAGCTGCCTCCAGAAGTAAAACATGAGATCTTGACTGATATTAAAGAACTTACAAAGCGAAGAAGAACGTTATTTGAAGCAATGCCAGAGGTAATATTTAAAATAGTTTTCAAGACAACAGAATGGAGCTATTGCCATTAATGCAGATGAGGACTATGTAAGCATATCACATCTGGAAAACTTTACTCCCTGGACTACTTAATAAGAGATGTTATATTGAGGGGGAAAAAAATCCAATGAGATAATGACTCTTAACAGCCTTATCTCTTGATTTCCACTAAAATTAGCAGAGCTAATTCAGTTTGGCAAGAACGAGAAAAAGCGTACTCTGTCTCGTGCCTCATCAGCATTATGCCCAAGATTTCAATTGCAAAAACAAGCTAGTGGTGTGGATAAACCAGGCAGAATGAACACAGCTAGGATTCCAAACCCTGAGGTTGTTAGGGGAGCTGGCAGCTGGGAAAAGGCTTTTGTAACTTAGGCAGATGTGTTGCTGAAGCTGCTCAGAGACAAATGGAGAATCCTACAGTGCCGCTTCTGCAGTTAGATTTGAAAGTACAGTATATGTCAGATCAAATGATAGCTAAGAATCATAATTTTAAAATGGTCCACGTGTGGATTCTGTTTTAATTGCTTTCTTTTTTAAGATGGAAATGACCTCTGCAAGCCAACTAAGTTTTGTTGGTCACATAATTGAGATTTCATGTTTAACCAGCAGTCAGAACTACTGGTACCTTTTAGAATTGTTGCATGTTTCCAGGATAGTATTGCTGTCGCTTGGGAGTGCAGCAGTCAGTAAAACACAAATGTTACGTGTTTAAAGGAACTCTTAAAAGAGTTTCCACACTCTCCAGAGTGTGGGAAATGAACTTGCTTAAAGGGGGCATTTTATTTCAATTGACTTGTTTGTTTTGTTTTGTTTCATTTTGTTTTGTTTTGTTTTGAGGACTCCAATGAGTTTTCCCAGTACCAGCTTAGGGGCTTGCTTAAAAAAAGCAACCTCAATCGGTGCATAGAGAATGTGCAAAAAGAAATGAATCAACAGCACTCGGGTGAAATCCAAACACAATATGAAAATGAAGGTGGTTTTGTGAAAGAAGTGGAATCAAGGAGGGTGGTCTCTGAAGAGACTTCTCACTATATTCTGATAAAGGGTATGTCAGGTCTTAATTTTGTAAAACCTCTTGTTTGGAGTGTACACTCTGCAGCTGGCAGTTTTTAAAAAAAACCCTGAATATTGTTTACGGGCACATGTAGCCAGTACTTTGTATGAAATGTGCATTACTATTGTACATAATTAACTATGATCTGTAAATCTGTAGAAAAGTGGTTTATTAATCTTTATATAATGATGTTCATTATGTAAAATGGAATGTTATTATAAAGCAGTTTTTTACTAAAACAAAAAAATCAACAAAAAACTTTCTTTCAGGTATTCAAGCAAAAGAAGCTATAAATAGAGACTTGGAAACTACTGCAGGACCCTCATCAAAAATGCTTGAATTGACTAAATTGAATAAAATCAACGAATCTCCTGCTAATGCAAAGCTAGTTGCATCTGACAAGATGCAAACAGAGAAAGATAATAATGTGGTGACAGCACCACCCTCTCCTCGGACTTTGCTTGCTATCCAGACTGCTATGGTAGAAAGCAACTCAGAAGAAGAACTGGATACAGAACAATTGAATGTAGACCAATTTGTAACAGAGGAAGGCAGTGTGTCTCCAAGAACACTACGGGCAATTCAGCAAGCTCTGAGTGATGAGGATAAAAGGGAGGAAGTTGTTACTATTAGAACTGATGGAGTGCTACCAGAAAGATCAGAAGTGAAAGATTTTCTGCTTAGTAGCTCAGATGAGGAAGAGCAGATTCCTGAAGTTAAGGAGGGAAAAAACATACTTACAGCTACAGTTTGTTCGTCAATCCAAGTGACTATGCATGGTGCTGAATTTGAACAGGAAAGTCAGAAGCTGGAAGAAAATCATATTACACCCAAAGACACAGCTGAAAATTACTCTTCTACTGACAATACTAAAAAAGGCAAAGAAGATGTAAGCAAAGAAGAAAATGGTTCAAAAAATTGTATTGCACCCAAGGATACCAATATATCCAGAGCGGAAAATTATTCATTTATTGACAATACTAGAAAAGACACAGAAGATTTAGACAAAGAAGAAAATGGTTCCAAAAATCATATTTCACCCAAAGATATCAGTATATCCAGAGCTGAAAATTATTCTTGTATTGAAAATACTAGGAAAGGCAAAGAAGACTTAGAAAAAGAAGAAAATGGTTCCAAAATGGACTTAAAGTCTTTGGAAGATAAGGATATGAATTTGTGTGTGCAGAAGCCAAGTTGTTCCTCTGTACAAACTAGTATAGGGGCTTTGATTCATGCTGCAACAACAGACCTTTCTAAAAATGAGAAAAACTTGAAAATTTCTGAAAATATAGAGGAAGTAATTTCACAAACAGAAGAGAATGTATCTGAGGTACAGAAACATATTAGAGTTTTTCCAGAAGCAAGAGGTCCTGAGGAGGACAGAGAAGGGATTTCACAGTCTGAAGACAGTGATTCCGATGGTATGTGCTTTTTAATTGTGTAAAAAGATAAAAAATAGGAACTTAGCATATTTGTAGTCATTTGAAGTTAACCTTTTCTCTCAGTGCGAAATGCTTTAAATACACCTATCCCTACACATACAGGAGGTGGGAAGAAAATCTGAGCTATGTTTTTCCCCTTGGTGTCACATTTTATCATTGAAACCTGAGTATAAAATACAAAAAGCCAGGAAAGCATGTTGTTGTGTACACTGAATTTAACTGGCGTATTAATGGTCAGCCACTTGGTTTGTGTAATTTCACAATCCTTATATCTAAATCTGCATATGTTCAAGTATCTGTTTTCTCTTAATAGCAAGCTTTATTGAAGTGGATACTGAAATCAGTAATGAGACTGAGTTTCCTACTAAATATGATGAAAAACTGGGTGATGAAACAGCACTTTCAGAAGTAGAGACAGACAGACCTGATGTTGTCACACAGGAGCTGCTGAAGGAGTCTGACGAAGTGCAGTTGGGAAATGCTCAGAATGTTGAAAGAGAAGCTGATAATAAAGATGCAGTGGATGAGTGGCAAGACATCAGTTTGGTAACTTATTCTCCTTGTTACTTGTTTTGAGCTATAAATGGAGTACTTTGTCTCCAAGTAGTTGTTAAGGAAAACTATTGGACAACTTTGTATTGTTTCATTGCTTTCTCATATATGTGTCTAATTGTACAGGAACTGATTTTTGTTTAAAGATAGTTAATCATAATCTCCCTGAAATCAGAGGGAAACTTTAAGGGTTTAGCACGCTGATGACAACCTATCCCTGGTACTGCATTAGAGAAGCTGTAACAACTTCTGAGTGTGAATTAATGGATCATATACTACTAGAATAATTATAGCCAGAGACTTAGTGCTGTACTTAACTAAGTATACCTGAATTGTTGAAATAATGAAAGTCTTGGTTTATATTTTCAGGAAGAACTAGAAGAATTAGAAAGGGACCTTTCTACTGAGCAAAATATGCTTCAGTCTCAAAAACAGCAGCAGGAGCGTGTTGCTGCTTCTGTAACAGGACAGATGTTCTTGGAAAGCCAGGTAGTATTTGCTGAGTCATTTTGATTTGGTTCACTTCTCCACCCTAGTAATTTACTCAAAAGCTGTTAGTAATTTTTGTTAATTATAGGTCTCCTTTCTTCCTCTAGCTGAGTGGGGAACATAATCCAGAATTGTGTAAATAGCACAAGTCTGTAAACCTAGTGTGTGTTGGATATTTAACTGAAGTTAACTAATGTATTCCATAAAAGCAAAAACGCATCAAAATACATGTATATCAAAACACTATCCAAAGAATGATTAGTCTGCCCACTGTTTCCTGCTTGATATGAATGTTTCTCAGATGCTTTCAACTATTTTCTTATCTAAAGTGATGACCAATTTTTTTAAAATATGATTTTTTTTTTTTTTTCATTTAACCTGCATCTTTCTTTCATGGAGCCCACATAACTGTAATGCATGGAATTTTCTCCTTGCTGTGGAAAACACAGTAGTTAAGTATGCTTGTGTAATTAAGATAGCAGGTTCTCAAACTCTGTGCTAATAGGGTGCTCAAGTAGTGCTTGACTTATGTGGAACTATCTGCCTGAGATAAGTGTGATTTCCCCCTTACTTAACTGCGCTTGGCACTTTTTAGGGGAAATTAAGATTTGGTGCCAAATATTAAATACATCCCAAGTGTGAATCTAGCAGTTCCAAGTCAAGCAGAAGTATAATAGAAGTTAATTCTTTAGATGAATTGTTGCTTTCCCTCCATCCTACAGGAGCTTCTGCGTCTGTTTGGCATTCCATATATCGAAGCTCCAATGGAAGCAGAGGCACAGTGTGCCATACTGGACCTTACTGACCAGACCTCTGGGACAATCACCGATGACAGTGATGTTTGGTTGTTTGGCGCACGACACGTTTATAAAAATTTCTTCAGCCAGAACAAATATGTAGAATATTATCAGTATATTGATTTGCAAAATGAGCTAGGTAAGCCTCAGGTATTGGTTTGTTAAACACAGTCTTTAATAAGACAGCGCTGCCATCTGTCTCTTTGAAATTGTGTTTTCTACAGAATTTTGTGTGTCTGTTATTACAATGCCTGTTCTTTGGGTAGTCTCTAAAGCCATTCAGTTAGGTTGCTGTTTTTACTGCCAACTGACCACCCTGAATATACAAACTCCTGCATTTCATATACTGAGTTAATGTGATGATCATCAAGGCTGGAGATATGAACTATGATATCAGTTCCTGGGTAAATGTTAGCATGACTTTCCTGATGTGGTAGGAAAATTATATTCTGATGTCATCAAATTTATAGTCTTCTGGAAATGGAAGTTAGTTTTGGGCATACTGACACATAATGTGTTAAAAGAGGATCAGAAATATGTGTATGCTATGTAAAACATTTTTCATTTAGTTAACACTGACAGATTTTTTCCTTCTTTCAGATTGCTCTTCAGACTAATCAAATTGTTGCTAATTTTGTTGAACTACTAAACTTCAGTGTCACATAGTGTATTAGGGAAAATATGAGCTGAGTTAAACTTGTTATTATGTCTTTTTCTAGCAGAATTCTTAAAATCAGTTTTGACACTTTCAAATTTGAGAGGCTATAGACTTTGAAGTAATATTTTAATGTCTTCATCATGTAACATTTCATACCATTTTTGTGTGATGAAAAATATATCTTTGGTTTCTTCTTCCAGCAAATTGAATGGAATATTTTTTCCCCTACTGAAGTATGCTACTGTAACTTACTTGGAAAGAATTGCTGTAAAAGCATGTGTGTGATTTTTAACTGTTATTAATGTAATAAGCCAGAGCTTTTATTTATTTATTGGGGAAAAATAGTCACCATCGGTCTTTGTGTCACATTCCTCTGCAGCCTTGTACTGCTACTTCTTTCCTATGCGTTGCACAATTCTTCTTTCTTAGCTCCGTTCTTGATAGATATCCTGACTAGCATGATGATGATCTTGCTTTGTGTGTTTAGAATCACGTGCCTCCTTTTCTGCATTGAATTTTTTTTAAAGTTATTTTTTATTTAAATCTAAATTATTGAAGCTGGTCACTAAAAATCAATCTGGTTGCCTCAAACCTTATATCAAGTAGAAGTGGTCGGCTGAGTTTTTCCTTCTTTCTGGCTGTTCCACAGGCTCTTCTGGCCTACTTAGTAACTGCACCAGCACAGAACAAAAGGCTCCCAGTTGGGGAACACTTAAGAAGCAGAGGCATTGATATTATGGGCTAGAATTCAAACAGAATGTTTTTAATTAAACATTTTTTTAGTAAAGCATTATTAAATTTGAGTCCGCATTAGATGGGAATATTACAGTAATTGGATAAAATAAATGTAAAAAAAATAAATCTCTTAGCAACCCTGAATTTCCCAAAGGTTTTGACATTAGACAATCATTTAGGTTGGAAAAGACCTCTGAGGTCATCGAGTCCAGCCTTTGATCACCACCTTACCAACTAGACTGTGGCACTGAGTGCCATGTCCAGTTGTTTCTTGAACACCTCCAGGGGTGGTGAATCCACCACCTCCCCAGGCAGCCTATTCCAATGTTTAACAACCCTTTTTGTGAAAAAATTCCTCTCGATGTCCATTGTAACAGTTTAATTTTGGCAAGATGTATTTGCCCAGTTAGCACAACTATTGGTGCTTGACCTAGCAGGAGCATATTTGTAGTGCTCTAGAATATAACTGAGCAAATTCTGATGTTGAACTAAATATAATTTTACAGAGTAAATGCCTTTGCTTTCCTTTTGATTTTTACCTTTCAGATAATATTTTTTAATTTGTAAGAGAATAAATGCTGAATCCACTGGTTTTATTTGGTTTATGCACTTTCTTTTACAGGGTTGGATAGAAGCAAGCTAATTAATTTGGCGTACTTGCTTGGAAGTGACTACACTGAGGGCATCCCAAATGTTGGCTTCGTAACAGCGATGGAGATTTTAAATGAATTTCCTGGGCATGGCTTAGAACCACTCTTAAAATTTGCGTACGCTTCATTCTATTTTGCTCTTTTCTCTCTCCATATTATGAAAATGAATATGCTTTGCTGCTGCTTAAGCATGCACCAAGACATATGACCATCTTTGACCATCATTAAGGAGACTAAGCTGCAAAACATGTGTCTCCATTATATCACTATTTGAAATGATAGGTAAATAAGGTGACATATTGATACAGCGATTACAATGAGTGAGCAATTACAGCAAAATAGAATAGCTGTAAAACTGTGTGACTGCCTCAGAGTTCATTGCAGAGCTGGATCCATAATGGAGCAGAGGTTTATTCTGCCTGAGTTTGTGAGAAGTTGCTATAGCTTGTTCATAGAGAAAAGAGGATGGATGACCTGGAAAGAGACAGACAGGTAGGCTGTGGGGAAGAACAAGATTTGAAGAGGGCCAAGGCAGTTGTATTGGCAAAGGCAAGGATGGTTAGAAGGTTTGGTTTTTTGTTTGGGTTTTTTGGTTGGTTGGTTGGTTTTGTTGGGGTTGGTTTGGTTTGGGTTTTCTTTTTGTTTTCTTTTTTTTCCCCTTTCATACCAAAAAAATCTCCAAAAATGATCCTTGTGTGTGGAAGCGAGGCTGAAGTTAGGGTCTTCTGTTTAGCAATTTATGGGGAATCCAGGTGATGTTTACTACTGTGGCTTACAATGACTGCATTTAATGTGTGTGTTTTGTCTTTTCTGCTTTCAGATTATTTATCACTTTGACCGTCCTTTATTTAGAAATTTTCTACCTCATACCTTGTAGCAACTGAAGTAGAGAGACTAAGGCTATTGAAATAAGCATGGTGGCTCTTGATACTTCCAATTATATGTTATGGAGGCAAATTAATAATCTCTGTTTTTCAGTGAGTGGTGGAATGAGGCTCAGAAGAATAAGAAATTGAGACCTAATCCACATGATACCAAGGTCAAGAAGAAACTGCGGGAGCTCCAGCTTTCTTCAGGTTTCCCAAATCCGGCAGTGGCAGAAGCGTACCTGAAGCCTGTGGTGGATGAGACAAGGAGTTCGTTCACCTGGGGGAAACCTGACTTAGAGCAGATCAGAGAATATCCTTTTACTGTATGGTAGGACTTGTTAGGTAAAAGTACTCAAAGTTCATAAAGTGTGTTAGTGAGTCAGTAATCGAGTGGCAAGTTCTTAACATCTCTTGGGTGTGAGGGGCCTCCAGCCCTATCTGCGTGCGCTTTCCTAAAATGACACCAGCTCTGGAATGGAAGGGAATGCAGCCATGCTTGTGTGGTACTCAAGGCTGCTGTGCCCTCCTAGAGAGTGGGCTGCTTTGCTTTGTGTGGAAAGAGAATCTTGTAGCTGGCCTAACTAATTAGTTTTGATCTTCCTGCTTCTGTAACTGTCCTGTGCTTGTTTCTAGACTTAGAGTGAGTGGGATTGTTTGCACACTCCTGGTGTATGTTTGCCATTTTTCATGAATAAGTCTCAAAGCCTAATCAGAAATGGTGTTTCAATCTGCACATTATCCCTAGTAATTCCCTGCATTTCTTCCAGTAATGTCTGTTTTTTGAATCTGTTGCAGTCTGAGCTGCAGTGGATTGTTGAAAAGTAGATGGCAATGCATGCAGAGCTAATAGTGTTTTAAACAGTAAATGGAATTTCCAGTGTGTGCAAGTGTAAAAATAAGGTTTATTTATAGGTATTTTGTCTTATGACAATACTGTATAGCCAAAGTGAGTTCTGTCTTCACTGAAACATGCCTTTGGAAGTGTTGATATTAGAGAAAAGGTTCTGCAACTATTGGAGATGTAACAGTGTGATTCGTGATGCATAGCGTAATACTGGAACAGTCCACATAAACCAGCTATTATAACTTAGAGTCTTTTCTCTAGTTTTATACTAGAAGAACTTTTGAATTGGAGCAACTTTCCGACAGACATTGTTTACTTGAGGAATTTTCATTTTACGTGTTTACACAATAGTAGTTAATAGCCATTTTGTAAAGTTCTTTGACTTTCTGCACATTCTGTAAGGATCACTTTGGCTGGACTACAACAAAGATAGATGGAATCCTTTTGCCTGTGATGAAACAACTGAATGTGCAGCAGGTAAAGTATAAAACCTATAGTTTAAGGGCAACTGGAAAATTGTGAGAAGCATTTTAAAATTAAGAGCAAGGATTTAAACTAAAATATGTTTCTCGAAAACTGGGCTTTGGTCATATGTTTTATAATCTTTATGTATATATATTTAAATCATTAAACATACTTCTCCAGACTTCATTGCTGTATGATTTGAGTGTGCTGTGAGGGACTCTACATAATTTCAATTGTTGGTCTCAAATTTTATTATCTATCAAGCACCTATCTCAAATCGAGGCTGCTGTTTCTTCTGGATGTAGTTGATGCTACAGGTGCCTCAAGCAACTTTAGTAATTTTAAACGACAATGTGCTGTCTCTAAAAAGTATTTATAAAAATACCCCTAAGGTTTTGGTGAAGTGATACTGCCCATTTGATGCCATACATATCCTTTGAGGAGGAATGCAGGCTGAACTGCTGAGCAAGTGCCCATTAATAATATTATTCTAATTTCCAAATAAATGTTCTGTCAACTTTAATAAAAGCTGAAAGGGAATAGTGATGCATACTGTGAAAACTGTCAAAGTCAGTTGTGAAATTGATCACCCAATCTCAGGCTGTTTTCTCCTTTTGTCATATACAAGGTAGGTATGTTGTCTAAACCAGTGTTCTAGGTTCTCTGTATCACTCAAAGGATTGAAAGGTACTAAACCCCATGGTTAAATAGTTATACTTTCAGGTTGACTGGAGCATCCTTTGGAAGCGTCTGTTTCTCCTAGACAATTTTAGGGAAAATATAGAGGACTAGCTTAGTCTCTACAATAAGCCTAGCTGTGGCTGAATAGCACAGATCCATCCTGTATGACTACTTCTAGTTCTACTCTTCAGAATTACACTGTAGCAGCATGTGGTACAACGAACTTGAATCAAATGACTGTGTGTTGCACTTGCAGGCACAAATGTGAAGTGCACTTACAACATTTACTTAGTAAACATTCTGCTGTTTTAACAGCTTGAAGCTAAGGATGTGTTTGTAAGGACATCCTTAAGAGCACTACAGAGGTTCTCTGTATTAGGATTGAAAATAGCAACATATGTCTAATCATCAGCAGCACAATGTTTATGAATTTCACTGGAGGTTGCTACTTATTTGGTTTCTGTAAAGGTTCTTGTTGTATAATTTATAATAAGGTATAGGTATTACTTAATAATGCATCTTATTGTTCACATCTATGTGCACATGTATTAATTTCATTAGTCCTTTGTCCTGCTTTAGTTTTGGGTGGCTTATAGCATAGCTGCGATAACAACTGAATTCCTATCCTATTCAAAGGTGTTTTTCTGTTTTATTTTTGATAGACTCAGCTTCGAATTGATTCATTCTTCAGACTAGAGCAGCATGAAAAACTAACTATTAAAAGTCAGAGACTGCGCAGAGCTGTGACTTGCCTGAAGAGAAAGGAAAAAGAAGCAGACGATGAAATTCAGGAGATCACTGCTGTTACAGAGATGGAACCTGAACAGCATGAGAAAACAAAAGGGGAAGGTACCACAGGCTGCGCAAATCTAACTGTGGCAACAAAAGCCCAGAGGGGAAAGAGAAGAAAACACTCAGATTCCAGAAAAGAATGTTTATATGGAGGTGGTTTTATTGGAAATTTGCATCTTTCAGAAACTTCTAGTGACTCCTCAGAGGACTCAGATAGTAGAGATTTAGGCAAGAGCAAAGGGAGGAAAAACACCTCTACGATAGAGACTGCAGACCATAAAGAGAAAAAGGGGTGCAGTAGCTCAAGTGATGAGGATGAAGACCTGGGAAATGTAGTCATGGTGACTGCCAAACCTGTGTTTGAGGGCAGAAAAAACAAATCACGGGGCAAGAGAGGAATAAGAAAGAAAAAGTCTTAAAGAAGAAAAGTAATAAAAAGGGCAGACTCTTGTGGCATTTATGATTTAAGCTTTGTAAATATTCTAATGAATTTTTGATAAAATATAATAAATTATTTCTATTTGTTATGTATTTGTCATGCATTTTCTGTCCAGACCTTAAATAGAAGGGATTCTAAGCAATGCAAAAACTAATTTTAGGACATTTACTCGTAAAGACCTAGATTGAACTTGATATAAGTTTTCTGGATTCAGATTTTAAAATTGAGCCAATATGTGATGTCCATTCATTTACATTCTGAGTTAATTGTTAAAATCACCTGCAATCTGTTGCTTCCTTAACTTAGAACTTAAATGAAATTTTGAAAACTACCTGGGTGATTTCTAGGTGTTGCAAGAAGGAAAATAAGTTCAATTAGTTTTGTTTTTCTTTTCCCTTCACTAAGCCTGTCTTGAAAGTAATGTTGTTTATTGAAGAGAGATGAAGCAAACTCTCGTAAAATCTCAAGGAAAAACACACAGTATAATAAGTCCTTACATAATCTGATGAGCAGTAATTGTTTATGTTCTGAATGTAAATGTCATGTTTCTAGATTTGGGTTTCCATGACCATATCAAAAGACAGTGTTTGTTTGAAAAAGTGGTGCAGCAACCCACTGGTTGCAGCACTCACATCAGATTAATTTGTGAGAGACAATGTGTTGGGCTCAGACTTCTCACACATCTCACCTCTTTGAATGATTGTAGAATTTATTTCTACCTCCTGTGGATTAAGGAGGAAAAGTACAGTCTTACTTTTATTCTCACATTACATTTTAGTCCTTCTTGCCTTTTTTTTTTGTCTTCTCATTTGATATTTCTACTGTGTTTCTCATTGTTTCATTGTTTGAAATCCAAGTCCATATATTTAAGTTTTGTATTAGATATTATCCTCCCCTAAAAGGATCAAGGGCTGACGTGAACTGGGTGCGATTTGACCCTCACAGTTGCAGAGAGTCTAATACTTCGTGTACAGTTTATATTGGGCAAAAATGATCCTCTTTAAACCTCTTTTCTAAAAGATTATAACATTTTAAGCAAATTCTCAGCCTGTACAGCCAGTTTACAGCACTAGTTTGTGAATCACTCATTGGTATTACTGAATTTTACTTTAAAAGTGTGTATCAGGTCTCAGTGAATTATTTAATAGTTTATAGGTCTAGAAGAGCTCCTGTTAATTTCTTCTGCTGAGTATGGTAAAGTACACACACCCTCACCTCTCTGTAGGGCTTGTTTAGTATTTTTGTACAATAATTTATCATTTTTCTGTAACACCTAGAAACCACAGTTGAGGTTGAAGTCTAATTTTTCTAAAAAATGTGTTAAGTAAGAGACGGTTCTTGTCCTGAATTGATTACACACTAAAACAGAGAAATCTTAGATAGCTGTAGTTGTTCTTATGGCAGTAAGTATTTGCAATCTGTTGAGTGAATAGACATTTGGAATATAGAGGAGTGTGATGCCTTAAAATCTATATTATATTAAATCGTAGTATAACTATATATATATAGTATAACTCACTAGTACTTTTAGTTTGCTAAGCACCTTTGTATTAGATTCCTAAAATGCTGTTAAACTCTTCCTGTCAAGAATTTCAAAGAAAATAATCAAAGAAATAATTTTCTGACAATTTTTAGTATAGAAAGGCAAAAAGCTATTCTTTAATTGAGGCGTTGTAGGTGCACAAACAATATTGTACCGACCATGGCACAGACCTTTACAATTTTATAATACCATCTAATTACAATATCTGGACATTACTTCATTGGTTACACCCATCCCCAAAACCGTCCCTCCCATCATCCCACCCTTGCCACACCTCTAAATCTGAGTTGGTGGTCTCAAAATGACAACCCCTTCCTCTCCACCTTCATCTTCCTTGTCCTCTGTGTCCTCCTTGGAACAGCTTCAAGGCTTCTAAGTAGTTTTATCTGGTTATATCAAGTGGTCTGACCCTGTTATGTCTCATTTTGAGTACATTTCTACAGATAAGGTGTTTTTCACCTTGCTAAAATCTTTGTTGAAATTAATCTAGTAGTGTGTGGATATTTATGCAAATTGACAGCTGTCTCATGGAGTAAAGCAGAGTAGGATTTTGGGAGTTGTGTTGTCACAGTTTTGCATTCTAACGTGACCACCCCTGCTGCCAATGCACCCCCTGCCCCTTAGTAAATTTAAATCTGTGCTTTGGGAGACCCTTTTGACTGAGGAATGATATGCTCTGTGGTTACTTTTTAGTAACACTGAGTGTTACATCCTGCCACTATTTATTTTGTAAAAAATACTCCCAAGTTGGTTACTTTGTTGGTTGGAGCTCCCTTGAGTGGGTGACTGGTGCTGTTACGAAATCCACTCCCTTATGTAAGGGACATGGTGTGCGGTGCCCTCTTTGTGCTCGTCCTGCAGCTGTCAGGATTTATTATTGCTCCCACTGTGGGGATGTTGGCAATGTGTGACACAGGCTTCGGGACACGCTCCTGCCTGTGGCTGCCCTGGAGGGAAGAGACCAGGCAGATAAGGACATTGCTGTTTGAGCACCATCTTCGGAAAGCTGCAAGAGATTCAGGTAACATTGACTGAAATGCGGTGGATGCCAGTGATATTTCACTTGTCTGTGTCTTATACTCTAAATTATTTTGTATCCTTTGCTTTAAACAGCAAAACTGAGCTGTTCTGCTCTGTTTAATTGCTTGTAGCACCCTTGAATGTGTATGTTAAACTCAGACAGATTGCTATGTTGTTCAGTGTACTTCAAAGGATATTTTTAGAATGACATAAAAAGTGTAGAGGATCACAAAATAAAAAGGCTTTCCCTTGTAGGATGATTTTACAGTGCAATGTTGCTTATCCTTTAGAATGCAAAAGGACTGATTATTAACCATTTCTTTTGTCTTCTAATGTGAAGAAAATTTGTCTTTTTTATTCTTCTGAGGTAGATGACAAGCTGATGGATGTGTGTAGCATTTTCTGCTTAATGTCCCAGTAGTTTCTTATGCTACTTGTTATTCTGCAGATGCATACAAAGACTTCAAATTCCATTGAATCTCTTTTTTGTTCCTCATCTAATGATGTTGCTATAGCTAAGTTCGTGTGTAGACACAAAAATAATGTCAATAATTTTCTTCTAGGTGTTACGGTAACATGTAGAAACCTCCAAAGATATTTTTCACCTTCAAACAGGTTAATGGCTGCTGGTATTGTAGTAGTAAAGTTAAACATTAAACGTGTGTCTTTGGTAGCGTGAAGTCAAAAGGGCATGGTGCATCCTCTCTAAAAGGAAAGGGCTATTCCATACTGTGCTTTTTCACTTGAAGTTTTGAGACAAAAACCTGCCTAGGACTTTGCACTGTGAGAAAGATTCTTGGTATTCAGCATTTTTTTTTTTACTTTGATTGTCCTTTTTTTTTTCTTTTCACTGTATAGAGATATTCCTTCACCTATTGCCTTATTTAATTGCATTCCTGTCGGGTCTTTAAACATGTGTAGGTTATTAACTGTATACTGCCTGTAACCATTCCAGCAAAAATCAGTTAAATCTGCACATAACAGTGGAAATTTAATAATTTTTGAAGTTTTAATTTAATTTTTAAAGCACTGATTTATTTTTTTTTAATTCCTATGAACTCAGTGTTCTTCCTAATTGTAAAATATCAAGAATTGGAGATGATTGCTTCTGTCTACTTTTCTACAGACAGCAAAAATTGTACTGTCCTCTGTCATACTTTTCCTATTATTTTTTCTCTGGAGTCTTTGTGTTTTGTGACTGTTTATATAGGCACATATGCTTTCTGTTTAGCATGTTATTTGTAGATCTTGCTTCTTACTTATTCTCATATGCAAATTTATTCAAACAAGATTAGATCCTTAAGGTGCAGTTTTTCATGTCTTTCAGACACTTATTGCTACCTTTCCTTTCAATCCTTTATAAGCCTACGAACCCTGATTTTAGTTTGTTCTAATTTTAAGATTTCATATAATAGTTTTAAACATTTATCAAAGCTCTTTATCTCTCATTTTTAAAAAAATCTGCTCTTTTGCCTCTTTGAGAGTATAAGAGTTGAACTTATTTGGTTCTGGTTCTTTTATGCCTTGAATATTGATACTTATGTGTCTACATGTTTTTATCATCTATATAAGTAAATTATAGCATAATACATGTAAAAAGAATTTTCTTTTTTAATTAAGTGTTTGTGGGGAAAAAGAAATAAGGTACTTATTTCTTACATTATTCAGGCAGGCTTGTGTTTCTCTGTCCCAGGGTTTGTGACTTGGTATGGATTTGACATCATCACAACATAATTATCTACAAAATGAACTGGTAAGAGAATTGGAAAGACAAGAAGGTAAAATGTTTCTTATTTCATTATTTTTCCTTGTTGCACTTAAGAATATTGTTAAGTATAAGGAACAAAGTGTCTGGCTGACAGTGAGCTATCTTCTCATTCATTTTTTCTGAAGAACTGTGTTTATGCCACTTGTGCAGAAAATACAACAGATAGCGCTGTTGTATTCTAGCTATGCAGTGGGTATCTTAAGTATGTTACACCTGCGTACTCTTGTCCTGGCAGTTTCCTACCAGTGCCTGGCATCTGTCCTCCAGCTACTTGCCTGTGACTGGTTCCAGGAAATGAAGCTGTGACTATGATCAAGCTATTCAGAGAGGTTTGTTTACGGGCTGTCAGTTAGGGAGAATTGGTTATTACAAGCTTGGTTTCTGTCCAGACAGTCTCAGACCTAATCTTTCAAATCCCTCAGGGGCTACTGACAGCTTTTCTTCTTCAGCACTTTCATGGCTGCACATCTTTCAAGATCCTAAAGTATTGTAAGTAGTCCCCTTTTTAGCAGTCACCAGGAGTAGACAAGGTTTTAGGGCAAGTGCATGTGTTTTGCGGTGGGGTCTAGTTATGTTCTACATAACATGTGTGAAAGGAAGAGGGGTTTAAAATTATTTTATTTTTCATAATATTTTTGTTTAAAATCTCAGCTGAGTTGTGGTCCATGTACAGCCAAGCTTTTGGGTTTCTGTTTTCTCAAGACAGATCAGCATGCAGTTTTGCTTTGCTACCTGTTCAGTGAGGCAACATGGAGCTTTGGGCATGACTGCAATACTTAAAATGAATTATTTTCTCATTAAAACTAATGTTTGTTGTTTCACTTTCAAATACTTTTTTTGGAGTACCCCAAACTGATGACCTTCTCTGGAAAGCTGATGTTGCACAAGAGGATGTCTGATAGCAATTGGTATAGGTTGCTGTTCTACAAAGCACTGTTCAAGTGTCTTAATTTGGAGATTTTCTTTAATGCAATTGTCTTTCCTTTTGTCTAATTCTGATTTGAACAAAGAGCTCAAGTTGATCCTATGCAATGAAGCATGATTATTAGGAGAAGAATTATCTAGAAGAATAAATGTTAAAGATAGATCTACTAAAGACTGAAATATTGATGCCTGTCATTGTGTGTTCCATAGTACACGAGGGCTGAAATGAAGTTCCACAGTCATTTCTATGCTTCTGAAAGCTTGAGTGTCCAATACAGATATTCTCTTCATGCAGGATTCAGGACAGGGAAGAGTGAGGCTGCATATAATTTCTTTGGGTTTTAAATTATGAAAATAAATTGAATTCTAGGACATTAGGTCAATGTAAGCAAATTAGTCAGTAGAATATTTAGATCAAATGCAGAAATACATTCCACTTAGCTAACAGAGGAACTGTGTCGATAGCAATGACAGGTGGTTCTCTTCCATGTCTAGAAACACTAGTTTAAGAGAATGAGGAGACATGAGTGGAAAATGGAATATCTTCAAAGTTTCATCTGACACCATACTTTGGCATCTTAAATTCCATGCCAGGTTCTGGAAGTAAAGGGTGCTGAACCTGCTGCATGGAGATTTACCTGCTCAATCACTCTGAGCCTGTGCCTTCCCTGTTCTTATCCTTTTTCTTTACTGCCTTCACCATCCCTATTTCATTATTTCACCTACCCAGTCTCAATATCTGTTTCTCAGGGTTCTTATTCTAGTTCAGTTTCTATGCAAGTTCCAGTCATGGGATCATAGAATCACAAAATATTTTGGGTTGGAAGAGACCTTAAAGACCATGCAGTTCCAACCTCTCTACCATGGGCAGAGACACCTTCCACTAGACCAGATTGCTCAAAGCCCCATCCATCCTGGTCTTGAACACTTCCATGGATGAGGCATCCACAGCTTCTCTGGGCAACCTGTTCCAGTGTTGCACCACTCTCACAGTCTGAGCTCTTTATCTTTGGTGCCTTCCCCTTTGCTTCTTAATTAACTCATCATAAGTTCTTCAGTTTAAAACTCCTTATTTTTGTTCACGATTCCCATTACTACTGGTTCTCAACTTACAGGTAGGTTCTCACCCAGTCTGATCCTTCCTCGTGTGTCTTTATCCAATCAGTTCTCCACATCTGCATTATTAGATGTCTCCTTTCTTTCCTCACATAATTTATCCCGATCATTAGCTTTAAGTTTCCTTGGCTAAATGTTTCTAAGATCAGATTCTACCACTCCCATCCAAATTTCTTGGGATACTAGATTACTTTACCCCAGTTGCATCGTGTAAATTTAGCCCAGAATAACTTTACGTCTGAGACAGAAGGAGGAGGACAAGTTTGCAAGGCATACTTGTCCTTGACAGTCCATCGTTGCAGTTCACTTGGCCAGGCCTTAGTTTTTAATCCATAAATATCTGAGAAAATGCTGACCTAGTAACCGTCTAATAACTCCTGACACTTTAGAAGGGACACACTCCTTCTACTCACCCTGCTTGACAGATGTCCTAATTGATGGCAATTCCTGCCATCATGTCAAGTACCTTTTTGTGAAGTCCAGAAAGGTGCCTTAAACAGGACATACTTGGAATGGAGGAAAATGAGAATCAGTCTAACCCTGTAATTTAGAAATTAAGATATTCAGCTGGGAAGAGGAGTGACCTATTTCCTAGGTCTAGTTCTAAAGATACTACTTCTCTTTCTCATTCCCTTTCCTGCTGACACTTTCCCACTGACTTCATAGACTTAGCTGTAAACTGTGAAAAATATCCTGGGACCTGAGCATGGAGTCCAAGTTTGCCTTTCACAACTGAGTGCCCAATTTGTAGTTGGGCTTTTCCTTGCTTATTGTCCTTCTAGCATGATTCTTGCAATCCAGGTTTTCTGATGGCCCACCTCTGGTGGTGATGGAGGGGAGGGGAAGCACCTGGTTCTGTAGGATGGCTGGAACACACCCCTTGTGTGAGTTCTGAATTTGAATTCTTCTGAGGAAGATCCAGCACTCAGTTCCTCCATTTTGAGTTCCTCAATCACTGAACCATTCTTTATATAGTGGACTTTGCAATTTATAGTGCTGGTTAAATAAAGAGCTTATTTATACTATATAGAAATAACACTTTTGCAATATCTTCCCACACCACCTGACTTCCCTTCTTTCACCTTCCTTCTTTTTCATTTTTATTCTTGTCTTTTTGCTTTGAATTATGCTTCTATCTTAAGATTAAAAACCAACCAAACCCACAAAAAAACATATAACCTCTTACATTAACGCTCACCCTAAAAGCATTAATGCTCATCCTAAAAGCATTAATGCCTACATACACACACACTCCAACTCATGGAAGTCACACCATTAGTTACCTACATTTTTTTCTTCATTGCAAGATTGAGAAATAGCAGAATTAAAATTCTACTCCTCTTAGGCAACAAGCTGTTTCTAAACCAAAAAAAGTCTAAAAGAGGTAGTTTAGAATAAGACCTCAGTGTAACTCAATTAAGGAGTGACTAGAAATAAATGGCACCTTCACAGCAAAACAGAATAGTCTAGAAATAACTCTTCTCTTTATTTATCTCTTGAATGTCTTGCAGTAAGTTACCTCTGAGCTCTTTTGTTTGAAAGTGGCAACATTCAAGTACTCTAGTAAACATCAGTAAAAATTCATTAATTTAACACTTCTGTGTTCCTTTTCTCTCCCCACAAGAAGTAGACCCACTTTCATTGAAGACATTGCTAAGCTCAAGTGGAAACTTCTTGGATATGGATAGAGCAGAAGTTGGAGGCAACACTCAACAAATAATCAAAGTATACATCAACTCTGTAGAGAACTCTGCAACTTATTCTACCCTCTCAGCCATGTGCCCGTCTTTCCTATTTTCACTTCTCTAATCTTTGCACTAACTGCAGTTTGACAATAAATAATATTTTTCAACTGCCACATGGAAAAGGTGGCATGGATTGGTGTTTTTAGTTTATTTCAGGTCCTTTATTCAAAGATGTATTTTAGAAACCTAGAATTATTGGTAGGTGAAAACTGATGGCATTTTCTTGAGTCTCTTTCTATCCATCAGGAAGTTGGTTGCCTTTTCTAATATACATTAAACCATCTAATTTAAAGTTACAATCTTTTGTTGTCAAAGTCAAATAATTTAGTTATTTTTAGCTGCAGAGCTTTGACCTGAAGGTGTTTCCAATGACAGACAAACATGATGAAGTAACAGGGGAAGTACTTCACATATTAGAATTCATTATGTGTCCCTGAGATGGACACTATGGTACTTCTATTTTCAACCTTTTAATAGATTTTAAATGACCTGTGACTTGGATAGGACTAGGATAGCAGTGGTGTAAATTCCAAATTTACAAGTGCCTCTCAAGCCTGGGCAAATACATAGACTGGATACTGTGAGCGTACCCCTCTTCAGTTCTTGTGTCCTCATGCTCTGAGCTAAGTGCATTTTGTCTTTTGACTGAGAAGAGGCTGCCTGTGGTGGCAGTTGTGTATTTCTGCATTTCAAAGTATAAAATTTCAAGTATTATATTACCCTGACATAGTATCTCAGATTAATCAATATAATACACTTCTTCATTGCCATCGTTTCAGCAGGTTGAACTTGTAATGAATGTACTGCTAACACTTACATGATGATCTCCCTTTTTGTAGGTAGGGATGAAATAAGGAAAAATTAACTGTCATTTAGACAAGTATTTCAATGGTACTTTGCTTTATATTCTTAGAAAGGTATAGGTTACATCTGACTTCTGTGAAGTCAAGAACATGATTAGATTTCCCTCCTAACCCCTTCCTTTAAAGGTCCTCAGGCTGGAATAGAATGAAATAGAAATAAGTGGAATGACATAAAGATACTAAAGGGATACTACCTGGAATTTAGGGACTATTTTGTGATTCAGGATTTTGTATGTTTCCATGGAGCCATCTGTAATGCTTGCAGGAGCAGGGCTCTGATCTGGAGATATCAGTAGCTCAGTAAAAATTCTGAGATGCTAGAGTCCCTTAGTATTGAGACCTTTCTGGTTTTTTTTGGGGGT